AGAGAGAGAGAGAGAGAGAGAGAGAGAGAGAGAGAGAGAGAGAGAGAGAGAGAGAGAGAGAGAGAACAAAGGAGTTTTTGTGAGCCCGTCCTAGGTGTAACGGCGGTCAGTACATGGCGGCAGTTACCTGCAGGTGAGACAGCGTGGAGGGCAGCATCTTCTTCTTCTTCGTCGTCTCGCCCTCCACCTCTTCTCCCTCCTTCCTTCTTCTTCTTCTTCTTCTTCTTCTTCTTCTTCTTCTTCTTCTTCTTCTTCCACAGAGAGGAGAGAGAGAGAGAGAGAGAGGCTACAGGCAGAGGTTACATCGGGCATCAGGCCCAGGATCTGATTCGACGTTTTTGTGAAAGACATTGATTGGACATTCGGCAGGGAGACTATTTTTGAACTTTGCTATCGCAATCTTGGTCTTCTCCCTCACCTCCATCTACGCCTCGCCTCTCCCCCCCCATCTCTCATCCGTGGTATCTCCCCCATGTGCGTGTGCAAGGAGGGACCTTTCTTCTGTGTATGCGGTACCCCCTCCCTCTCTCACATGTGTGGTGTATGATGGGATGTCACGTGAGTCTATAGGTCGGTCAGGTCATATCTTCGAGTGTTCCGTTGCGCTACATTATGCTATTTTCGTATGTATCTGGATGTGCATTGCTTGTTGATGTTTCACTGACACTGCAGTGTCCGTTCGAGTCCTTCTCATCACTGGCGGATCCTTGCCTCCACATACATTGCTCAACCGAGCATTGTATCAATAGAAACAGAGCCAGTTCTGCATAGTATCGCATTGTTATCGCCCTTTCTCTGGATTTTTGCTTTTGATGCAGAGAGAAAAAAAAACAACATCCGCTTTTATGACATCGATAGGAACGTTGAACATTTGGCCTCAAGGCACCGAAAGCAGTAAAATTTATGTGCTGCGATTGGTCCCACGAGACAGAACCAAGCACCTGGTCCAGGTTGCCAAAAAAAAAAAAAAAAGGCGAAAAAAGAAAGCATCATGACTCATGACGAACTTGACAATAGCTTTTGAATTCTCGATTGACGGCATGCATGACTTGAGAAAACATCCATCCACTGGACCACAAGGAGAGAGAAAAGGGTCGACTGATTTTCATGTCAATTTTTATCTTTACACTAAGTTTATTTATAGCGCAAAAAACATGCACGGCGGGAGACGACTTGTGTCCAAATTACCACAAGGGAAAGTGGACAGGAAAGAGAGTGTGGCAACGCACCGTTGTAGACGGCGCTAGATCATGGAAACGCAAAAGCCAACCACCACTCTCGGGCAGATTTTCCACCGTCAGGTCGTCCAGAGTGTCCTGGCAGTCTCGCTGAGCTATGCTCACAAGCAGCCCCTGCAGAGTCTGCCAAACATCACTGCCCAAGTAGTTCAGACAGCATCCCAACCGACTCCATCCTAGCGACCGCACTCACTCGACGAGCCTCTTCATCCGATAAAGTCATTACCACTGAAATGCAATGAATCTTTTAAAGACCGTCACAGAGTAATCCGAAATGGCAAGAGACTGAAAGTCTTTGCAGAACAACATCGAGGAGTCGATGACTTAGTACATACTTGCAATAGGACTTTCTCTAATGAATCTGGTCATAACACACGTCCAGGGAGGTCCTAGTGTAAGAACGCCTTCATGCTTACCATAGCGAAGTGATGGAGGTTTGAGATGTGACTTCTCTCAAGCTCAATTCCGAAAAGGAACCTGAGAAATGCAATACAATACTTGCTTCGTATTTGTCATCAGTGACATAAAAACGGTTAAAATACCCAGCACGACAAGATGAACAAAGTTATCTAAAAAAGAAATCCCCCACCAGGGGGGGCTGAACAAAGTGCCGTTCACAAACGATCAATTAAAAATTAAAAACCTGCCTTTTTAGACCCCCTGGGCCCCTGGGGCTGCAGCTGAAACTTGTTATCTGCCCTGTCATCACCATTGTCCACATACAACCTGTCTGTCCCTGTCTGGTCTCCTGGATGCCAACTCATGACCTGTTTACTTGTTATCTGCCCTGTCATCACCATTGTCCACATACAACCTGTCTGTCCCTGTCTGGTCTCCTGGATGCCAACTCATGACCTGTTTACTAACAGGTAAATGTTACCCTTCATCCCACTGTCGGCTGTTTCAGCACTTTCCCCATACAATAAAATTTAGCAAACAGGACAGAAGCAGTGATAATGTCACTTGATTGTGAGAAATACCTTGTGTATTCAAAACACTGGTGATCATGTGACGAAGTTCGAAGAGGAGGGGGATATATATTGTCACATAACTATGAACTAAAAGAGCGCACTTTGTGGAACAAAGAATAAAAGCAAAAAACGGGCACAGTGATAAAATGCAAAAATAAAAATAAAAATAAAAAGAAAAAACAAGGGCAGATTGAAACCATTAAATTTCTCATTCTTCTTTGAACTCCACCTCCACTGTGCC